CGTTTCGGGCGTGCGTTTTGCGCGTTTTGCGGTGTTTGCGTTTTGCGGCGGGCGGGCGTTTTTCACCATTCAAAGTTCAAACCTTCGGGCCACAGCGCTCCTCGAAAAGCGCTGCCCTCGAGTAAACGAAGCATGGATGCAATGTGAGCACATTGATAACCTGATGACTTCTGACTGTTTTCACGTGTTTATGTTGTTTACCTGATACCTTTTTTCGCTCAGCAATACCTTACATTTCGGGTTTTCAGGCGACCTAACTCCGTGTCCCGCATATTCTCTTTCACGTATTCTCTTGTTGTTTCTGTCCTCGGGGCGTCAATCTGTTGTTTCTACCTTTCGTCGTCCTCACTTCGCGACGTCGAACTTCTGGCTGGACGGTCACCGGTGTGCGGTAAGAGTAGCTCCTAATAGTAATGAAGCAGGCTCCCGTTCTGGGTGATCGTAAGCTCAGCCTGGTGGTCTGTCTCTGGGGACCGGAAAGACTAGTGTGGGCTACCAGAGGCCGACGTAGGTCCAGAAGCTGGCCATCAGAGCTCGGCACCTGACGCTCATAAACCGGGGGGGGGGGGGGGGGGGGGGGGCATTAGAAACCGATGTGGTTCGCAACAAAATATATGCGTTCGTAATAAATTGCTAAGATAAGGTGAATGTTCCGGTCATTAGAGGGCATCAATTGTCCCTTTCGCTCGATTATTCTCAGAAAATATTTGATTTCAACGTTTTAATTCTACCTTGTACGAACAGTGGATCAGAAGCGCATACAAATAAGTGATGGCTCCCTCATAGCCATAACGGGAGTAAGATTCTTAGATAAACGGAAATAAGTCGTTAAATCTTAACTCCGACGAACATTAACCCGCGCCCCGCTGGGGGGGGGCAGAATCTGCCCCCCTCCCGTTTTTCGCCAATAACTTCCAAACGCGTTACGCCAGCGACGTCAAACTTTCAGTACCTGATCATACATCAATTTGACACGTTACGTTCCCTGAAAATTTGAGCGAAATCCGTCGGATATTTTTTTTAGAAAATGACGTTTTAGTGACGTCATGTTCGCCATTTTCGCCTCAAAAATCGCAAAATTTCAAAAGCCGCTAACATCTTCATTTTTAAAGGAATCAAGACGTAACAAAAAAGGTTATACGTGATTCTACTTTGTCTATCAAATGTCTATTTCGGTTTTTTGAAAATTTTGGATTTTGGCCCAAACTTTTTCCAAAAACCGACTTTTTTGGGAAAATAATTATGAAATCCAAAATTTTGAGTGTATCGAAAAAAAAACGGAATATATATCAGATAGGTGGTCTATGTGCACCTATATACCAATTTTGAGAAGAATCAGTTCAAAAATGTGGAAGTTATTCAAAATTTTATGACGTCACGACACACACAATTTTTGAAAAATGAATTTTTAATCAGGTTCAGGGCTGTGATAAAAAATAAGAAGCCTAAATCCGGTGAGAAAACAGGATTTGGGGGTACCCTAGGTTTGGCTCCTTGAGTCTATGCCCCCTCCCCCCAGTGAAAATCTCTTAGACGAGGCCCTGTCAGGCTAACTATGCCATAAATGAAATAATTTATGACCAACATTGATTATCTTGATGTCTTGCTTGCTATTAGACAACTATTAGACTAGGACTATATTGCTATTAGACTAGGAGGGCCCGTACCATGCCTGAGAGGGCCCATACAACTCATGCGAGGGCCTGCAGCTGTACTGAGAGGGCCCTTGCAAGAACTGGGAGGGCCCGTATCATGCCTGAGAGGGTCCATACCAGTCATTAGAGGGCCAACAACAGTGCTGAGAGGGCCATTAAAAGGTCTGGTAAGGTCCTTAGAATGTCTGAGAGGGTCCATACCAGGCCAAAGAAGCCCCCTAGTAGTATAAAAAGGCCCATATTAAGCCTTTGAGGGTCCCTACCAGTCAAGGAAGGGCCTTTACCGGGCTCCAATGGCCATGCCAAACTGAGGATCTACCGAACTTCAGAAGGCCCATACCAGGCCTCAGGGGCCCAAACCAGGCTTCAGAAGGACCATATCAGGTCTCAAGGGACAAAGCCAGGTCTCTGAGGCCTCTACTAGGCCTTAGAAGGTTCATAATAGACTTAATGGGGACCTGACAGGTTTCCGAAGGCCCAGACCAGTCCGCAGAGGGCACCTAAAAGGCATCAGAAGACCAATTTCAGGCCGCTTAGACCCTAATAGACCTCAGGGCTCAGAGGTCCCGCATCAGGCCACAAAGTGCCTATACCAGGCTTCAGAAGGTCCATACTAGGCCTAATGGGGCGTAACAGGTCTCCGAAGGCCCATTCGAGACCTCAGAGGGCCCACATCCAGTCTCGGGGAAACATAGGAACTAGGTCTCATAGGGTCCCTATGATATCGAAATCGCCCGCGAGTACGCTGCACCTGGTTGACCGGCTGACCCTGGCCGCCGGTCAACCTTCGGGTCAAGTTAACCCGGTCAACCGTACCATACTTGAGAGGGGCCATACCACTCATGCGAGGGCCTTTAGGTCAACCTAAGGGCATTACCCGAGGCGCCGCTCCTGTGTCATCTGTGTACCGGTGTTTTTGGGCCAGCCCTGTCGAGCCGAGCTCCTGTTTGAGCCACTGTCCGTCCGAGTCACTTTCCAGCCGGGAGGCGGGGCATGATAAACTCGAATATTGAAAACACGATTTTGTTCATGATTTTGGCTGCTCAGGCTGATTCAGGTTGTTTACGTGGAATTCGTTGGTCAGGATAGTAAACAGCTTCCAACAAAAAAGGTTACCTATTCATGTTACCACAAGAACAATGTATTGCCTGTTGTCGACCTATCCTAAAAATTTCATGACCCTGACCCTAATGGCTTTTGACCTGTGACCTACTTATCGAGACCATGTTTGGCCGGAATCGCGATTCAGCGTATGTCGGCTCGCGTCAGCCGCGCGTTTGCAGTCTTTTCGTGGTTTAAAGCGTGCAACATGGGATATGATGTTGCTCCCATGCATTAAGGTGGGTGTCAAGATCACCGGAAGGTCAGGTCAGGTCATTGACCTTTGATGGCGGGGGGGGGGGCAGAAACGGCCTCCCCCTACGGGTGGTAAGGTCCGCCGATATCCCTACGGGGCGCGGGTTAAAAAGAAAACATAGCAACAACGTTCTTTCTTTATTTGAAATGAGTCACTCCTGGGTCAGGTGTCACAATGTGCCATTAAATACCAAATTGCCCAAGTGGGCGGTGTTACCCAAGGGTCTGCATTTTTTCCTTAACCCGCGCACCGACGCCAACTTCGCACCGACGGGGGGGGGCGGATGACCGCCCCCCTGAGATCTCGAGAACGAAGCAAGATAGCGACAAGCGGTAAACGGCATCGGATATGCACGGTCAAGATCTACAATTTTTACTAAGGTCATTTTCAGGTCAGGTCAAAGATGACGTCACAGGGGTCGAAAAAGTCAAAATGGCGGCGCTAGACATGGAGAGTTTTTCTCGAATAACTTTCGAATTAGTCAAGATAGGAACAAACTAAGGGCATCATCATGATCCTCTCGTCAATCCGCATCGATTGATATATATGTTGACCTCGAAAGGTCAAGGTCAAAGGTTGACCTCAGGTCACGCGACCTCGAGGTCATCATGTATATCATTCGATGCGTCTTGACGAGCTGAACACAATGAGACCATCCATGCGGCTGTATCTTGTTCCTGTACGGAGTTATTGGCCAAAAACCTTTGGTGACCTTTGATGACGTCACATGACCTCACAGCTGCCCAACAGCAAAACAGACCTCAAGGTAGTGAAGGTTGATCGTATATGAAGTCATGTATGGTATATGGGGCCATTCCGACCCGTTTTAGTGGTAAAAACAGGGAGTTGATTTTTCGCCCATTGACTTATGTATAATGGGGAGGTCGCGAAATTGACCTGACCTTAGGTCACCGATATCAAAATTCCGAGATAAACAAATTGTAGCTACTAATGACCTTATAACATCCTGCGACTTTCAAAGGCCTCCGACATCTACTGTAGCTCTGGCACGGTGACAAAGTTGCAAAAAAGTGACTTGAGGTTGGGTCATTCAAAGTGATCTGGTGACCTGACCTTAAAAGGTAGGAGGTTCAAACTTGCACACCATGTGTAAAATTGATGAGGGAACAGTCGTACCAAATTCGCGGCGCGTAGCGCCGCGGTTTTCCCGCTAATCGCGAAAAACCTCAGGGGGGCGGATATCCGCCCCCCCCCCGTGTCGGTGCGCGGGTTAAACAAATCCTTTAATATGGCAGCACGACAAAAATGGCGCTCGAGCAGAAGCACGACATGTTTGGATGGGTCCTAATTATAGCAAAAAAAAAACTTCTTCAGGACTATGGTCTATCAAATAAGGCAAGTTTTCTTCTGCTAATTATGCTACAAAAAGTATAAAACGTATTCACGAAACGTAAAATTCCGAATTTCTCGCAGATCACCTAAAACAATGCCATGCTCTGCCCATACCTGCACTTCTGTTGACGTCACGCTGCCAAAAGACAGTCAGCTGTCGTCCTAGACCTTTTCATATTTCTTATATCGGGGTGGGCGGTGATCCCCAAAGGGCGGTGTTCCCCCGTCTTCCCCTACACAAGTTGTTAACAGAGGCATCACAATTTCTTACCAGACTACTTATATTATGATCATGTAGTGTGCGCCATGTGCGTTTTATAGAGGAAAGGATGTTTCCTCATAACTGTGCTAGTTCCGAGAGACGTCGGTGAGGCGTTTTACCTCGGCGGGCGACTTGCAATGGTCTACCGTAACTCGTAAGCATCAAAATCTAAGATTTTTGGCTGGTTTTAATGTGTCTTATTGGCATGAGAACTGTTTACCGAAATTACGGACAAACCTGTATTAAGTGAAGTACCAAATTACTGCAACTCTTTGTGCAGCGTAAAAGCGATCTGCCTCTCCCGACCCGAACGAAACAGACTTTTTCCAATTCTGTCAAATGAATCGCGCAGTTCTGCTGGCCCCTAGAATGCTTGGATTTTGCGTCACATTTATTGCTCATCGGATTGTTCAGTGTTCACGCAACAGCATACCGCCGCACTTACACTACGCACACTAGACTGCTATCGCCGCGGCTGGATGCTACTCCGCGGGGTGGCCGCCCGCACCGGCGGCTCAGCACCCGCCCCGACCGCCCGCACCGGCGGCTCAGCACCCGCCCCGACCGCCCGCACCAGCGGCTCAGCACCGGTCCCGACCGCCCGCACCGGCGGCTCAGCACCCGCCCCGACCGCCCGCACCGGCGGCTCGCAACGAACTCATGCGCTCTGCGTTTTCAAAATGGCGCCAAATTTGGGTCTCAGGGTTACAGTCTGCGTTGATCCGCTGATGTTCAGGCTATTGCTATCAGACGTCACAGGTCAGCAGAGCCGCCGGGATGTCGGCCCCCGGGCAGAGAACAGTGGCACCGGCGCACGGGTCGGGCGCCCGACACCCGTTCATACGACAGAGCAGAGGTCATACAGCAGAGGCCACGCAGCAGAGGTCATACAGCAGAGGCCACGCAGCAGAGGCCATACGGTAGAGTCCAATGCACCGTTTCATGTGTGACTTATACGTCAGTATATTTCCGGGACGGCTCACCCCCCCCCCCCCCCCCGCTCGATAACTGACCCGAAGCGATGCGATATTATAGCGTACAAATACACTGCACTATAAATGGACAGCGGCTCGATAATGTGCGTAATACTGGCGTCTGGCGCCGCCTCGTGTCCGACTACTCCCATTCACACATGCTGCGACCACTGGGCCGCTGACGCCGCGCGCCTAAAACTCGTACTTGGTGACGAACACGAACAGCTTGGCGACGGCCTTGCCGCTGAACCGGTTGCCCTGGTAGAGGTCCATGGTGAGCTCGAGCTCCACCTCCTGCGGGCCCTCGACGGAGCGCACCAGCGACACCACGGCCTGGTTGCTCTGCAGCCGGCGCAGCTGGAAGAAGCGCTCGGCGGCGCGCTGCACGCCGGCCGGCGCGCGCGCCTCCACCAGCCGCAGCGCGAAGCGCACGGTCGTCTGCGACCACAGCGGGCCGCGCATGGTGAACAGATCGATGCGACCCGAGCGCGGCACCGGCAGCTTGGAGACGAACGTCAGGAAGTTGTAGGAAAAGCTGAGCGGACGCTGCTGGCAGGCGCGATCACCGTCACGACAGAAGAGCGACTTGCGCTTGCAGCGGCTGCGGCAGACCAGGGCGGGAGTCGGTCAGGGAGAGGAGCAGCTCGCCGGCGGCCGTCTGTGGCACTGCCCTCAGTGACCCGGCCGGCCCCGCTACACTCGGCCACCGACGGCACCACAGGCACCCAGCGGATGGCACACTCGCCATCTCTGCAAGGCCAGCCAGCCGGGCACTGCACGCTTTTAACCTGCGCCCCTCTGGCGGAGGGCGTTCTTTTGCCACACTCTACACCATTTTTCGATCCGATTTAAAGGTAGTGTGCCACCTTTGAAAGATTTCCTATTTTATTTTTCCTAGGATAAGAAGCTTCTGTTTTTACCTAATATCGCAAAAAATCAATAATGGGCCTGGAATAGTGCCTTTTTCGCCTAAAAGTTTATCGGTTTTTCGATATGTATAACAACTGTAGTGGGCTGAGCTGCAAACAGGCGTCGGCAACAATCGCGAATGCGGCGCACATGTGACAATAAGCAAAGGTCATTATAGAGTTACGACGTACGGGAAGGAGTTATCAGCTGTCTAATCGTAGACAACACAATGTCGAGCCTTAAACTGTAAGCCTGTATTGGTATTGTTTCTTTTATTTGGCTGTCGAACATTATTTATGGTTTGAAATATGATTTTGTGTAAAATAATTGATATGAAAAAGCCGTCTCTTAAGTTATGACCCCATTTCACCACACGCAAGTGCCAGAAATGACAATGATCAGCTGACGCATTTTTCTTGGCCGAAGTCAGAGCGCGCGGCCCGACGCACCACCACCGCACCACAAAGTATGAGCAGAAGCCGCGCCCAAAGCCAGGGCCCCGGTAACGTGAGGTAGCCGAGTCGGGGCAGCGTGCGCTGACCCAAGCCGGGGCCGCAGCTTTGGGCGCGGTCTACCGCATCCCCGCGGGCAGCCCCGGGCTATCACATGACACCGGGAGGACGCGCGGCCCCGGCTTGGGTCAGCGCACGCTGCCCCGACTCGGCTACCTCACGTTACCGGGGCCCTGGCTTTGGGCGCGGTCTACCGCACCACCTAACAGGCGTGTTCGAAACCGCAGGAGATGATGATGAACGGGTTTATCGAAACTTGATTGGATGAGCATATCGGTAATAGCGATTTCAGTGTGTGCGTTTATTGTTCATAGTGGTGTGAAATGTGGTTGGGATACGACCGACAACCCGTCGGGGCGAATTTCGCACTGGGGTACTCAAAATTTGAAGAATTTAAGACGTTTCCATGAGTTTTGAAGGTATGGATAAGTTCTAAAAATCCGGTTCTCCTTATCTGGGCCATTAACTCCATACGGTCCAGGAAAGCTGGCACACTACCTTTAAGACAAAGGAAGCCCAATTTAAAACCGCTGAGTTTTAACTTAAAACAATTGAAGACCAATTAAAAACAAAGTACATAAAAAAACTGTCATGGAAACTAAACTAAGTGAAAAGCAAATAAAAATTAACATGACATTCAATTTCATCTTCTCTAATATGTAGTACCTAAAATATTTATTTATTTATTTATTTCACATCATAGACCCATTCCACACAAGCGTGGCTATTCTAGGGTCAGGGTCACAATTAAAAAATAAGGATAGTTAGTCACACACATCGTACAGCGTGATCAACTTTGCTACCAGGGTGATCACTGGCCTCAGAAAGTACGATCACGTGTCTCGCGCGCGAGAGGACCTTGGACTGCTCTGTCCTCGACGTATGTACGAGATATCAGCAATGGCTGTGGCCCATAAGGCAATTGTGTATGACGAGCCGGCCGACATTTCATCTCTGTTTGTGACTTTCGGTGAATCGCGCCAACAACGATGTGACCGTAGCACTCGACAGGACCGGCATTTTAGACCTCCTCTTACTCGCTCAGCAGCTGGGCAACGCTCCTTTTTATATCGCGCAACATCTCTTTTAAACGAACTTCCACCGGCTGTCATCGAACTTGACCCAGCTCGTTTCCAGCGTTACATTGATGGACCTCCAGTAAGTTGACAAAATGAAAATGCATGAAAGGATGTGCAGGATGGTGCCACACTTCAGAAAACATTGGTATGAAAGTGGGTGATGCGGGATTGTGTATACATTTTTGGTTGACACATTTGAAGCACTTGAATATTCCAGCATTTTATTTTCATTTTTTGCTTTTAGCTGCTCAGTTCTTCAAAGACAGGGGTCAGATCAGTACTAGGTGAATTGTGTAGTAGATGTGACCTGTCGGTGCATTGCTTGACTGTAGGCCTGGGGTGCAAGGGTGCAACACAGTATCCATCATTTCCATGTGTTTTAGTCATAACAGAAATTACATCTACTCACCACCAAACTTTAAGACACTATCAGTGCAATTTTCAAAATGCATAGAATAATCCACTCTCAATCACACCAGGTAAGATGTGAAGATGAAGTCCGAGTGGTACCTACCTATGTGGTTTGGTAGGTTAGTTGAGCTTGTAGATTGGTAGGAAGTAGTTTGGTATAATAGGTTGTAGGCATGTAGGTGCGTTTGTAGGATGGTAGGTTGAAAGTTAGGTTGGTAGGTAAGGTTAGGTATGATTCTACAAATTCCACAAAACTTGCCAGTTGCCTGCTTCCACCATCCGAGATTAACCAAACTTTCAGAGACCTTCCCACCACTGAAGAATCTTCTTCTTTGGAACAATAAGGTGAACATTTAAATATTGGTGGGGGGGGGGGGGGGGCAGATGGCAGTGTCACTGAGTAAATTTGGCTGTGTGTCTTGTGTATATTTTGGCATGCAGCCAAGTTACTGTCCCAACCAGCCTGCGTGCCCTGCCGTCTGGTGGCTGTTCGTTGAAGCATAAGTTATCTGAATCACTGCTAGGAAGTTTGAAGCCTACCTAGGTAGATAAAATTTTTGGGAGCATGTACTAAAGCAAAAGAAATCAAGCATCATATCCAGTGTACCAAGCACTAAATGGCACTAGCATGCTGTTCCAAGTGGCTATAGGGAGCGACTGGCTGGGAAGGCTATGTTGGTTGCCCTGGAATTGAACCCTGATTGTTGAATCTAAGAAATAAGGAAATTACCCCTAAACTATGTAGAATGCTTCCCTTTTGAAGCATAGGACGTTCCTCTCAACACTTATGTAGGTACTTTATGAATCTGCCACAATGGCGCGAAATCAGGGGCAAAAAGTGGATTTCATTGTCATTAGACCTACCATTCAAGATAAATATGAATTTTGATGTGTAAACTAAAAAATTTCATCTATAAAACATGCATATTCATGTCATTTTCTGCTAGATGCGCAAAAAATCCGTTTAGGCCTGACGTCCTAAACGGATATTTCCCATTAATTCATCGGATATTTCCGTTCCGCGTAATCGTCATTTTTGCGCGCCCAAACCAGTTTACATGAGTCGAAACTTGCGCACTTTTCGCTAAACGGAAATATCCGTTCTAAACGTCATTTTCGCTGACTCATGTAAACGGGGTAATTAAGTCGCAGCGTAATAGGGACTCCGCGGGGGGACAGGCCTAAGATCTGTGTGAAAGTGGTGAATGACGTGAGCGTATGTTTCTTTTATGCCCATCTACCTATACGTATCGCATTGTTTTTACTTCGTGACTTACGACACGGAACAGCCACTACTGTGTTTGTGGAGTGTCGGCAATTATCAATACAGTACACGAATTCATTCTCACAAACGCACACCCTATCACAGTTCCCGCAAACGGGTCGTCACTAGCCGGCATCGGTCTGTTGCTGGAGCATATACCTCCGCAGCTCTCTTTTACATGGGCTCAGGCCTAGGTCGCGAATCATTTGTGGTAAGTCATTAAAAGCGGTCACGGCTGAGTATAAAAAGCGCCTCCTACCGGATTCTGATCTAATGGTAGATACATTCAGCAGCTCGTTCTGTCGCGTGTCGGCTGATGAACATGTCGTCGAAGCGTGAGGCTGGCGGATAACGTCTCGGGCTGAGAGGTAGACAGTATGCGCTTTAAAGGTAGTGTGCCACCTTTGAATGATTTCCCATTTTATTTTTCCTAGGATAAGAAGCTTCTGTTTTTACCTAATATCGCAAAAAATAAAAAATGGGCCTAAAATAGTGCTTTTTTCGCCTAAAAGTTTATCGGTTTTTCGATATGTATAACAACTGTAGTGGGCTGACCTGCAAACAGGCGTCGGCAACAATCACGAATGCGGCGCACATGTGACAATAAGCAAAGGTCATTATAGAGTTACGACGTACGGGAATGAGTTATCAGCTGTCTAATCGTAGACAACACAATGTCGAATTTAAACTGTAAGCCTGTATTGGTATTGTTTCTTTAATTTGGCTGTCGAACATTAATTTATGGTTGGAAATATTATTTTATGTAAAATAATTGATATGAAACAGCCGTCTCTAAAGTTATGACCCCATCTCACCACATGAAAGTGGCAGAAATGACAATGATCAGCTGACGCATTTTTCTTGGCCGAAGTCAGAGCGCGCGGCCCGACGCACCACCACCGCGCCCAAAGCCAGGGCCCCAGTAACGTGAGGTAGCCGAGTCGGGGCAGCGTGCGCTGACCCAAGCCGGGGCCGCGGCTTTGGGCGCGGTCTACCGCATCCCCGCGGGCAGCCCCGGGCTATCACATGACACCGGGAGGACGCGCGGCCCCGGCTTGGGTCAGCGCACGCTGCCCCGACTCGGCTACCTCACGTTACCGGGGCCCTGGCTTTGGGCGCGGTCTACCGCACCACCTAACAGGCGTGTTCGAAACCGCAGGAGATGATGATGAACGGGTTTATCGAAACTTGATTGGATGAGCCTATCGGTAATAGCGATTTCAGTGCGTGCATTTATTGTTCATAGTGGTGTGAAATGTGGTTGGGGTACGACCGACAACCCGTCGGGGCGAATTTCGCACTGGGGTACTCAAAATTTGAAGAATTTAACCCTCGCATGTGTAGGGGGGGGGGGGTCGGATGGACCCCCCCCATGGTTTTTCGCGAATAACTCGCGTAAAAAGCGGCCGATCGCGACGAAACTTTC